GATGGATGTCCCTGGTATGTGAGGGCATTGTTGCCGAAGAATGGAAATACTTGGGTGGTTAGTAAATGGGTTAAAGAACACACCTGCCTAAACCAAGGTCTTACCCGGGATCATAGACAGTTGGATTCTGATGTGATATGTGCAACCATTATCAGTATGTATTATTCGATATATCTAACTTCCTAAGGTATGTTAACGTTAATCAGTTTGTATTCTGACTGTTGGCCGGTGTTTTTTTTTATATAGGTATGTTAAAAGAAGATCCATCATTGAAGCCAGTTCTTATTCAAGAGAGGGTACAACATTTGTATGGATACAACATATCTTACAGGAAAGCTTGGAAGGCTAAAATGAAAGCCATTGTCAAGTTATTTGGCGACTGGGATAAATCGTATGCATTTTTGCCTGGTTGGCTGACATACATGACGCAGGTTAATGTGGGTTCTGTGTTCAAGATTGATACAGACCAATGTGTTGATGAACGTCGAGTGTATACGGATAAGGCTGTCTTTCACCGAGTATTTTGGACCTTTCACCAGTGCATTGAGGCCTTCAAGTATTTGTAAACCCATAATCCAAATTGATGGCACGCATTTGTACGTGAACAAAACACAATAACATGATGTACACCCTAAATCTACTCGTCGTCCCCGTCTGTGTCCGTCTCCGAGTCGTCCTCATCTGACACATGACCCCCATCCCTTGCTGCCTCAGCTACCTGACCACCTCTTGCAAGCTCCAGACGAGCAAGCCTGTCTTCCACACCCTTAAACCTTCCCTGTATGTGTCTAAACCTTTCATTCCCTTTCTTTCTCCATTTTTTATGTGCCAGCGCCATCTGTCCTATCTTCTTTGTCATTGCATTTATGCTTTTCATGACATCACGCAGTGAAAATCCACCTTCAGGTTCAGCTATCTCCTCAACCTCAGCCACATCCTCCTCCTCCTCCTCCTCCTCCACATCTGGCTCAACAATATGGTCATCTGGGGCAACATAAGGAACCTCAACCTGGGGCATACCACTAAACTCCCACACACCCGATCTCGTGTTCTTAGTAATCTTGCACTGCTCCAATAGACGCTTTCCGAACTTGCAATTATAGCCCGTGGTCTTCTTCAACAGCTCAGTCTCCATGGGAACACCAAAGTGAACCAATATCCTCTGTACCAGACAGGCGTATGGAAGATGACCCTTATGTTTGGCCTTAAACATAAACCAACAGATATAGTGCCTCCAGTTCACCATCTGGGCATGTCGGATAGCCCACATAATGGGAATGTCATGTTCCAACACCCTGGAATGATTAAAAGATCGCGGAAACAGAACGTGGGTGAGGACATAGTGTAGTATACGGGACTCCACAGAAAGCAACCCCACCGTATAGTGCAAGTGTTCCCCACGGACTCTTCTCTGCTCCTGCACGGCATCCTCTCGTACATATCCTGGAAGTACTACACCACTATCAGCGTCATACACCACAGTCTGAGAAGAGTCAAAATCATAGCCGAGTATCTCCAACCATGCAGGTGTCGTCATGATGATCTCTATTCCACAGACCCTCGACCTCAGCTCGCCCTGTACGTAGCTGAGGTTATGGTAGAAGGCCCGCACCATAAGCTCTGAATACGGACATAGGGTCTCGGCCAACACCCTCAGTTGTGCCGCCTCCAACACCCCCACAATTTCAAATCCCTCCTTATCAAAAAAGGCTGTATCCAAAGATTTTGGAGCACATAACGGCCGGTTCAAATGGTCACGTACGAATGAAGCGTGGACGACAGGGTCGTCCTCAAACAGATACCCATACGGGAGGTCAACAGTATCAGGCTCTTCGTCTTGTCGCCTTGACGAAGAAGGCCGCTCTTGCCTATGCTTGGTGCGTCTCTCAAGTGACTCATTGCCCTCATCGCTTGGTCTTCTGCGGCTCGTCATTTGTTTAGGGTACCTACAATGAAACATGTCAGCATTTAACTATATGAAACATGTCATGATGGTAATGAAAACTTGCAACATAAGCGCTGTAAACCAAAAGCAAACTTTTGCCCCATACAAACTTTTCAAACAAAAAAATTCACACAATGCAAAAAAAATAAACCTTAGTAGATTAGGGTTACAAAACCTACAACAAACGCTTTGATTAGAGTTCACAAATTCGGACAACAAACAAATACAAAAAATTCCTAAACCTAAAACACAATGCAAGTTAAGAAACCTTACCTATCCTTCAGATTTCACGATTTGGACCAAATTTGGGGGCAATCCACACGCCTAAAGGAAGGGTTTGGGGCGTTCTTCAGCTGCTCCTGCGGATTTGGGGTTTGGGCCGCCTCCTTAGTCGATTAGGTCATCCTACTCCCCCTCTGCCGAATGGGTGGTTTTTAAAAAACAAATTCGTCGATATTTAGTCGACTAAATATCGATACTTAGTCGACTAAATATCCCAAAAATGTAGTCGATTAAGATGATTTTTTAGTCGACTAAATTTGCGGTAGTCCACTTTATGAAGATTGACCATTTGCTCGACTAAAACAGCAAGGTAGTCGACTAAAAGGGGGCAGGTTGGTGGATAGTTCTTGATCAGGGGCAAATTGGTTATTAATTAATTAATGAGGGGCAAAAGGGTCAAAAAGCCGATAAATGAAGACACGATAGGAAAAATAGAGAGAGTGACGTTACCTGTGACAAATTCGGCTGCGCCGAATTGCGAATTGAGTTGGACTTTAATCTTGAAAGATTAAATATGTGTTTAAATATGTAAGATTGATCTAGTTTCTAACATGTTATGAATATAATTATCGGCTTGTGAGATGATTTATTTACAAAAAATAAATGCTTAGCTTAGCTTGTTAAAAGAAATAAGAAACAAAAATTTATCCAAATAAAATATACGATCAAACTAATAATTCTCAAAAGATTCATAAATTCAATATATATTCAAATATCACAATATAGAAAAAAATCTGCTTAACTAATAAAATAAAGTGATACAAAATTTTGCATATACAAAAGAACAAAAAGAGTACAAATTCTGCATAAACAATTTAATATACTCACATTAACTATTTAATATATTGCGATGTTGCCTCCTCCTACTTAAAAAAAAAAGTCAGATTATTTTTGACATTCAATTATAATATCATAAAATATAAATGTGTAATATAAAAAATATAAAATAAAAATACGAGTTAGTATACCAGGCTATCCTAATAGACTCTATGACCAGATTTTTGAATTAAAACTTTAGACATTTTTATTAAATGAACTTTTATATAAGTCTAAGTCTATATCTAACAATTAAAATAGACGAGTCAGACAAGCCAAACCAAAGTCCCTGACACTTTTAACTCACTAATGATTTTTAAGGAAGCTTCATGTATGGTATAATTTATGGTTGATTTATCAAATTGCTCTTCTTTGAATTTTTTTTTTTTTATCAATTTGCACATCTTTCAAACAATACATATTTTTTTTTACCAAAGTAGACCAAATGACCTAATTTTAAATTTAATTTTTACAAGTGTCATGGCTCTATTCGTTATCCAAATTTACTCAAATATATATTAGGCATTAAATTAATCAAATGGACCAAATAAGAAAAAAAATCGACCATATTATTGATAATAAGCAAAGAAAGAAAAATTAATAAGGAATTTTGAAAAATCAAAAAAATTCAAACCATTGGATTCTTTTTTTGGAAAAAAAGAAAAAAAAAAATCATATTATTATTATCTTGATAAATTTGACATTTTTGAATTTGTAGGAGTTTTGAAATATTACCGTATAATTATATTATTAACATTATTGAAAACCATATTGTTATTATTATTGATTATTAATTTTTGGGGAAAATGTTTGTCACCTTATGTCATTTTAAGTGAAACGATAGTATTTGAGAGTGGATTCATTTTCATCGTGGTGCATATTTGTTAGTTTTTTATATTCTCTCTTCTCCACAATATTCTCTCTTTCGCATATTTGCGAAGGAGATAGAATGTAAAAGATCAAATATATTTCAAAACACAATTGTTTGTTGATATCAAATGAGCGAATTTAGAAGAGGGAAGCACAATTAGTAGCCAAAGAAAAATAATAACAATAGAAATTTTAAAAAAAATTTGCAAACAAGAAGTCAGTGGAGAAGAGAAAAAGGAAAATGGAGAGGTGCTGAGGATTGAATGTGATTTGATTTAGTTAGCCTCTATTGATAGGGAAAATTTTCCTTCTTAAGATGGGCTCATGATATCAACTTTGTTGTAAATAATTCAATTTGTTTTCTTATAGAATTTGTTTTCCCTTTTTTTTTTATAGAATTTGTTTCCTTTTCTTCTTGTAATTATTTGTTTCATTTTCTTCTTAGGATTTCTTTCCTTTTAGTTTTCTTATGGGCTTATGATATTGTATCTTGATTGTATTATACAAAATTCTTCTTTATGTATTTATTATATAGGATTGCTGACTAATATGATATTACAGACTCAGCGAACTCATGGCTAACTCATAGGATATTATTGACTCGATATTATGATGCACATACTAATATTAATTTTGTTATTACTATTAATTTTATTATTACAATCTTTTATGATGATGATTATTATTATTATTAATTTGAGTAATTACATTCTATCCTCCTTAAAATAAATTTCCTCCTCTCAACTTAAAAATTTGTGCCTCCCTCACAAATAAATTGTGTGTTAAAAATTTGGAAAAAATACGTGTCATGTTAAAGGATGTAAAATTGTATCATTCTAAGTGAGAGAAAGAGATAAAGATAGATAAATGGAAGAGAGTGGATAAAAAAAATAAATAAAGGTGTGAGTACTCTTTGAGACATTAAATTGACATATAAATTATGTCATTCAAATACTAATAGCATTTTGAATTAAGTGGTGTTAAGTCCAAATAGCCCTTGGAAAGGGCAAAATGTTCCACAATTTGAGATAAAACAAAACTGTAAAATGTTAGTGTTAAGCAATGGCACATTAGCTGCACTAAAAATGCCACAAAGAGGTTAAGGCATCACACACTAGACCCCAATTAAGTGGTGTTTTTGCTGTGTTTTTATCTTTGTCGTTGTCGCATCCTTTGACTCTTTGATGTAATCGAGGCCACTCCTTATTTATATGGTTTTTGATGAAAATGGCTTCAACTTTTGTGAAAAAGATGCTGTTGGGTCATCGCTTGATTCAATCTTCCTCGCTCCTCACTCACCACCCACGAGTTCTCTCTTCTTTCTTTGGTGTAAGTGTCACCTTTTACGTGTGAAATTTCATCTGGGTATCTTTGCTTCTTCTTTTTTCAATTTGTGTTTTGGTTCGCTGTGTTTATATTTCCCTTACGAGACTGGACTTCTTGTGCCTATGCTTTTTTTTTTTCTTTTGGTGGGTATCTGGGTTATGGGCTTTTCTCGTTAAAGTTTTGATTTTTGAGTGTGGAAAGTGGGATATGTGTTGGTCCAGATTGTTTATTTTGTGTTCTAGGTTCTTGATCAGTTGATGATGTACTTGCATGACTTGCTTTTGTGACAATTTCCCATGGCATGTGTTTCACACAACTTCAGTTTTTTGTGTTTGGTGTTGAATTAAGTGTATCAAATAAAGTGCCATATACAAGTTCATCACACATTGGGTATGGATGATTGGGTGCTTTGCATGCTCCTTACCAGACAAAGGATATTGTTAATACAATTAACTGAAGTGAAACAACATCTGTGGAGACTAGTTCTAGTTTTTGTACTTGTGAAGTGGATGAAATGATAATACCAATTTGTCATCAGTGGGATTAAAGTATTAACTGTTGTAGGTTCACTTATGAGTTAGTAAAACCACTCCCCTTTAAACCCTGATTAGTGAGGGTAGGGGTGATGGTAATTCCTGTACGCAACTTTATCCTTGCATATTGGCAAAGATGTTTTTGGGATTCGAACCGTGACCTTTCAGTCATAAAGGAGCAACTTGACCATTGCTCTAGGCTCACCCTCTTGTTCAGTTATGAGTTAGTAATATTATGAAACCCCATTTTCTTGCATTGGTTTTAAGAGTTAAATAAAGTTATCAAATGCGGATTGCGGCATGTCGCGGCCAACCCTGAAAAATGCTATAGCAGTATAGCGGGTTGCGGTTGCGAAAATAGCGGAATAAATATATGACGGAAATAATAACAAAAAGAAACATTTTTAAAGGCAGAGATAGCAGAAGTGACAGAGAGAGACACAGATAGACACAAAAACCCTTAAAAAATTTCTGTTACACATTTAAATTTAGGACAAAATTGATATTTTGCCTTATGACAGCAATATGGCCGCGATTTGCAATCGCAATGGCCGCTGTTGCATTCCGATGCGGCGCGGAGCGGTTTCTTGCGGTGAGGCACCGCAACACCCATACGGCGCGGCTCGCGGCGCAATTAACTACTATGGAGTTAATCGTTGATAAATTGATATAAATTGTAGTTAGTCTCTGAGATATGGAATTGTGCAGTCATATATTTCTGTTAGACTGCAAAGCTCGGATCTTATGCTACTTTTATGTATGAAAATTTGATGGAAGCAATTGAAAATGTTTTCTATGCAATTTATCATGTAGAGAAATTTTCCTTTTGCAGTGGATACTCTTTAATTTGTTCCCTTATTTTACATAAAAAAAAATAATTTTGATGAAACTCGTTGATTATTTCTGCATTGTCTTATTGACCTCAAGCTGCCCTTTGATTTTTGCTTGTTCTTTTGGCCAAGATCTTATTGTATAATTTCTCTTCTATGTGCAGAAGCGGCTGTTTTGTATACGATCTGTCGCAGCCTATACGGCCCAAAATACCAGAACTGGTTGGGCTCCTTGCATGGCTTCTTCCATAGATGGTGGACGAGCTACATATTCAACGCAATCTGCATCTACGAATGAGCCAGTTGTTTCTGTGGATTGGCTTTATGATAACTTGAAGGATCCTGATATGAAGGTACTTGCCTAGTCGTCTTGCTGACCAGACGGTGCCGTTACATAGTTTTTATTCTTAGCATTTGTAATTTTGCTGCTGTTGCTCATTTTTTTTTTGGATACATTTATTAATTTATTTTGGCTCTGAACATTCCACATATGTTGAAAATTATATGATCAATTTCTGATTGCAATATCCTTTACATTAATGAAAACTTAGAAGCTGAGAATTACACAAAAAACTTCCAATGGAAGTGTTAGGTATAGTAATTAGATCAGATTTGGGAAAATGAAATTCCTGTTGATCTATATTGACTGAACTCGGTTATTGTTGTGCCGATCTGTCACGATCCCCTTCACAACATTTATTACCTCACTATGTATATGATTAAAGAGGGCAAGCCTTGGAGCAGCGGAAACGTTGTTCCTTTGTGACCGAAAGGTCACGGGTTTGTGTCTATGGAACAACTTCTTTTTGCAAAAATTCTAGGGTAAGATTGCGTGCAATCAACCCTCACATCTACCTTCACAAAGTTAGGGAGCCTTGTGCACTGTAGAGACTGCGAAATGTGTTTACAATAGAAGGGGGAAATTGAGAGATGTTGGCCCAATAGTACAGGAGGAGCCCGGCCCAATAATATTAGAGGGTTCAGTGCAGCATGAGGAGGACTCAAGAGATGACCCAAGACCTGATGTGGAAGGGAATGACGTGGAAAAGGATCTACAGGGTGGAGGTGATCACATTCAGCGCATGGAACGAAAGAATGAAGTTGGTTAGAAGTGAGCTAGAGTGCTAACGGTTGAGAGGCAAAATGTGTTGGGATTTATAGTGGGGAAGGCAGTGTGGAAAAGGGTAGGATAGGATGTATGTAATGAACCAATTGGAGGGAAATTGAGGATCCAGTGGTGGACCTCAGGGGAGTCTTGGGCAGAGTCGGTGATTCGTTTGTTACAGAGTGTCATTTTAATTTCTTCTTTCATTTTCTGGTTGTAAGGAGTAAGGAGCACTGGTCCAATATTTCAGAAAATCTATATAAAAACGTTCCTTCAATTTTTCTGTTCCATCATGCACCGAGGGTTTTCCCTTTTATGTATATGATTTAACTCATACTCCTTTCTTTTCATCCCCAACTTGGTAATTAAAGATCTGGACTTTTGTGCAATCACCATATATCAGTTTTGAGAATCTCATTATTTCATCAGTATTTGTTATTTTCTATATGAATGGCATCTAGTAAAATTAGCAAAGACAGAACTTCCTGCCACTTTGTGCCCCCATCTCGTAGGTTTGTGATTCTCAAACTCTTGTTTGGTGATTATAAAGCCGTCTAGGAGCCATATGGTTTAGCTGCTGTAATTAGCATAAATTGAATATCTTTTATTTCTACTTATTTAAAACTCCTATTAGACGTGCATGATCTGAATAGTACACCTTCATATACCTTATTTGCTATTGAATTAGAATATCCATTTAAATACCAACACTTATCTTGTCTATTCTATTAAGGTGCTGGATGCATCCTGGTATATGCCAGATGAGCAGAGGAATCCAATTCAAGAATATCAGGTATCAACATTTTCCTGTTATATGTATGATATATGGCCTCACTTGAATATGCTCTCTTTATGTACTTAGTTTTATGATTTTAATTTTTTCTGTAAATTTTTCCATTAATATTTGTCTAACACCATATGCACAGGTTGCTCATATTCCTGGGGCCCTTTTCTTTGATGTAGATGGAATAGCAGATCAAACTACAAATGTGAGCTGATCTCTCTTCATTTTAGTCATTTTGACTTTTTTCTTATTTATACCTTTATGTTGAAGCTGTTCTTATGTCAGAATCTTGTCTTTATATCTACTATCTAGTCCATAATCTTCTGATCTGGCACTACTATATTATAAATAAAAGAAAGCTAATTAAATGAAACAAATACTCAGTTATTCATTCACCTTGCTGGCATGGCAGTACAAAAGGGTATTTTACAATTCAAAGGAGTCCTTAGAAGAATGATGGCTGATGTTTCTTCTTCATATTGATACTACTTCATTATTTGTATATTTGGAACTCTTTCTTCACTGGTTATAACATAGTTGTAAAAATAGTACAATTCACGATTCTGATGGAATGGAATTATTCGGTATGATTTATGACTCAAATGATACAAATCAGAGAGCTAATCGAACTGTTCATACGATTTGTGACACAAACGATACAGATCAGAGAGCTAATTCAATGGTGGTTGGAATCAGTTCAAGAATTCCAAAACTGTGCGATACGGTTCGGAATCCATGAATCATGGTGTTTTGCTGATTCAAGATCCTATTGTTTTTGCTGGAATGAGTGGGTCAGAGTCAGGTCAAGGATGACCTGGCGTGATCTGAAGTGAAAAGGTACTGAACTTAAAAGAAAAGGACAGATAGGCAAAATGCACCATTCTGCTTTAGTGGATGAGAAGAAAACCTATTTCTGCCAAGTTACCCTCTGTGTGTGAGATCAGAGAAGAGAAACAAATTTGAATTTATTTTTGGGTTAGAATATTTGGGTTATCCATGTGTTTGGAGTCATGTTATGTGAGTAGTCTTATTAGTTATGTGATTATTTTATAGATTGTTCTTGGTTGGAAGTGCTTTTGTTCTTGTTAACTGTGTTTGGTATATCTCTTGTCTTTCAATGTTATTCGTTTTCCCATTATAGCCAATATGTAAAAGCTGACTTGTATTCGTTGATCAGTTGCCACATATGTTGCCTTCAGAGGAAGCTTTTGCTGCTGCTGTTTCTGCTCTTGGCATACAGAATAAAAATGACTTGGTTGTTTATGATGGCAAAGGAATATTTAGTGCAGCTCGAGTTTGGTGGTAAGCCATGGTGTTGTGTAAAAACAGTATATATAATAAATGCATTGTGGAATCTTAGATTTTGCTATTAAGTTTAACTAATACCTCTTTCCTTTCTCCACTGATTAAAAAGGATGTTCCGAGTGTTTGGGCATGACAGAATTTGGGTATTAGATGGTGGCCTGCCAAGATGGCGTGCATCTGGTTATGATGTTGAATCTAGTGCTTCGGGTGATTCTATTCTAAAAGCCAGTGCAGCAAGTGAGGCAATAGAGAAAGTATATCAGGGACAAGCAGTGAGTTTGAAATCTGTCCATGTATTTTAATATGTTTTCTTTTATCTTTTCAGTTCCTTTACAGCTACTTGGATGAAATGTCTTGAATTTGACATTTGTATTTTGTTTTAATGCATTGCTTCTGTCATATACATTTTTTGTTGCCAGGTTGGCCCAATCACATTTCAGACTAAATTTCAGCCACATCTTGTTTGGACCCTTGATCAGGTTGGTTGTATTATTGTTAGTGCCATTTCAAATGCGAATTCTGAGTATGCATGTCTTAATTGCTGAAAGAAGTAAATGTATAATGACAGGAGAAGTTCCATTTTAGAAACGGGGTTGTTGATTCTGCTAGAACCTCTTAAACAATTGGTTATATTACATAGGCAATATTGGCGATTGCAGAAATTTTAAAAGGTTTATTGATATAGAACCCAAAATTAGTAACGTCAAGAATGTTGGTAGGTTTGAAGTAGCAGCTGCAGAGCCAGACCTTTGAGTAGCTTGAAGTTCTGAACCCAATTTTATAACGGACCAATTTTCTTGCTTTTGTGCCATTGCATTCTTCTAACGTTTAAATCACTATTGTTTGGTAGTGTTGTATGTCACCATGTTATCAATAATTGAGTGTAAAAAACATGACCTCTGACAATTTAAAGAAACAATAAAAGTAGTGACAAGATCATATGGACCCATTCAATTTTTTATTTGTAAGAAATATATCCTTTACAAGTCAATCATGATATATCTGGTAAAGCTCTATATGAATCCTGGTGTTTATTATGGCCAAAGTTTTAGTACATAACTACATATACTTTGATAACAACCTTTTTTTGGCACAACATAGAAAAACTTTATTGGGCTGTTTATGGAACCGAGCTCTGTAAATATCAAAGAAGTTTGATATGATCATAAGTTTGACACATTGGTGTGATAATATAGATTAAATTGAAACTTTGTAACTGCAGATGAATTTACTTGAGAGCTCCCCAACTCATGTAGTAAATTACATCATTAGAGAAGATGAACAAATTTATGAAATAAGGTTCCTGGGATTGTTTGGCAATATTGTAGTCTCATGAAATGCTTGGTCTATTAAATATCAAAATTGACAGGAACTAGAAGAAGTATCATATCTAACTCAGACACCTGTAAATATATTATAAGTTAAATGTTCCATTTTTTGTTTTCTTTTTGTTTCTTTCTCCTTTCAGATAAAGAGAAACGTAGAGGAAAAAAGTCACCAACACATAGATGCCCGATCAAAGCCCAGGTGATTTATATTCCCACTTAATTGTTTTTGTTCTCACATCATCTCTTGATTTGCATGTAAGTTGTGAAAACTATACCTTGACTGTAAAGCGCTCAAAAGCTTAAGTTTTTTCGGTGAAATTAGTTGTCTTACATTAACATTTTGTATATATAGATTTGACATATGAGCAGTTAATTGTAAGCATTTAACTTACTTTTTTGGTAGCTATTGTCTATCTTGAGCAACAATCATTTATCCTGTACTATGAAGAAAAGTTGTTCGACATTTATAGGCAAAATTATTTAAGAAATAAAGAATTGGCTGGATTTTCATAAATTGCAGCCCCCTGTTCTTTTTCTTTTTCCTCCTGACTTTAAAATCTTGACGCAACTGCTGAAGAAGGGAAATGATTTTGGGATATACTGTAAGTTTGAAACCTGCCAATTGGAAGCTCGTTGTAATGCGCATGCCTTTTTTTCATTTTAAAAAATGAAACATAAATGATGGCAGAGAGCAATTTGTCACTGTGGATCACAGACCAAGGGCAAGTTCAATGTCTCCTGAAATTGGTCACTAGTTAACTTTGAATAATGGCAAAAAAAAAAAAAAAGGCTTTGGTGATTGTTTCTGTGCTGGCTGCGTCTCTTCATTTTGTTTTTAATGTGTGATTCTTGGATTTATGGAGAATTTTTCATTTGGCAGGTTTGATGGAGCTGCTCCCGAGCCTCGAAAGGGAATCAGAAGTGGTCATGTACCCGGCAGCAAATGCATTCCTTTTCCCCAGGTACAGAGCATATATGGTCATGTCTATTTTGTTATGATTACCCAGAGAAGCAAATTAGATTTCCTACTACTGGCACTGTCTTTTGCTAGCTAGTTCCAGGTTTATGCTTTTAAGTATTGTCTCTTAGGCCTGTTTGGCACATCTATTTTTTAAGCTAAAAGCTACTTTTAAGTTGAAGTTAAAAAAAAAGAGCTTAAAAAATAAAACTAAAAGCTGTTTGGTGATTATACAAAGCTGTTCTGACGGTTTTGAAGAAGAGAAGATGAAATAATTTGTTATTAGGATGGATTATCAGGGTAAAGAGTAAATTTGGTAAATACAAATTTAAAATGAGGCTGAAACTTAAAAATAAATATGAGAACATTAAAAAGTTAGTATATATCTTAAAAAAAGCTCTTCTTCGAAGCTTTTAGCTTTTGCTTTTTCTATTCATTAATCATTATAATAAAAATTTGTTTTTATAATAAAAGCTTTTGTAAAAACATGTTTGGCTAAGCTTCTACTTATAAAAAGAAGAGAAGCTAAAAATAAGACTTTCCACACGGGCACTTCTTTTGGCTTTGGCTTCTTAAATTTAATCTTTTGATATTGTTTTCTCCATGGAGATATCATCCTTTAATCTTTTCTACTTGTTTTGATATCTGCAAGTGTTTACTGTTCAGTATTGGTTTGAATTAAAATACTCCAGGATACTGCTAAAGCTTGGTCTTGTTGGAGTATTGGCACATTTAATGATTTGATGTGACTTATATATATATATATATATATATATATGGGGCAGGATATTCTTACACCGGTGTAAGAGTTAGAAGTCTTACACTCAATCTTGACCATTGATCCACTTGTATCAAATGGCTCACATTACTAAAAAATTTGAGCCCTTAGATATAAGTTGGATTAACGGACAAGATTGAGAGTGTAACTTACACTGGTGTAAAATGATCCTGACCCTATATATATATATATATATATATATATATATATATAGATATATATAAAATCATTAATGTAACGTCATCCAATAGCTTAAGTTTTTGGGTTGAATTAGTTCTTTACATAGTATCAGAGCCTCGGTGTACCGGGTTCGATCCTCACCGCCCCCCACTTTCTTTCTAGTGGAATTTCTTTCTTCGCATAGGTAGGTGGGCCTGTGCATCGTTCACCCTTCAAGCCCAGTAGGCTCTCGTGTGAGGGGGCGTGTTGAGATATATATAAAATCATTAATGTAGCCTCACCCAATAGCTTAAGCTTTTGGGTTGAATTGGTTCTTGACATGGTATCAGAGCCTCGGTATACCGGGTTCGATCCTTACCACCCCTCCACTTTCTTTCTAGTGGAATTTCTTTCTTCGCATAGGTAGGTGGGCCTATGCATTGTCCACCCTTCAAGCCCAGTGGGCTTTCGTGTGAAGGGGCGTGTTGAGATATATAAAATCATTAATGTATCCTCATCCAATAGCTTAAGCTTTTGGGTTGAATTTGTTCTTTAAACAATATATATATATATATATTTATATATATATATATATATATATATATATAAAATATGTATATACATATATATTTGTCACAACTATTTTATCAATACCAAATGCCTTTACATGCAGGTGTTAGATGGTGCACAGACATTGTTACCAGCAGTTGAGCTTAAGAAGCGATTTGATCAAGAAGGTGTGAACATCTTGTGATGGATATATATAATGGTGAAATCAGTTGCAATTATTTGTTCTTGTTACTTGTAATGTCATACATTCTTACATTTCTATTGATCTGCAGGTATCTCTTTGGAAAGCCCAGTTGTGACTTCATGTGGAACTGGTGTAACTGCTTGCATTCTTGCATTGGTATATCTCTTTCTCTCACTCTCTAATTTGGATGAATCTAATGATATTTGTAGCTTTGGGAAAAGGAAGTGGGTAAAGCTACTTCCTTTGTGGATCTAATCATACCTATTTCTTGATACACCCGAGCTGACTGACTTGGATTGGGCTTTTCTATATTTTAGGGCTTTTCAATAATTGTTAGTTATTTACCCTTTTCTTATTCTGTTTTGTCTATTTAAGGTTTAGAGAACCCTATTGTTATTAGGTTGTTTTTTGGTTAATAAAATTAAGAAAAGAGAAATAGTGTTTTCTCGCACTTCTTGTGTTCGTTCTTCTTTCTGTTTAGCGGATTGGTTAGCCAATTGGTTACTGCTTCTCATTATTTCCCTAATGGGATAAAAAGGAAAGAAATTGCTTGGGGGTATTCACTAGTTGATACTTTCCTTTGCTTCCATTTTTCATTTACCAAGGAAGGACAACTGGAGAAATGGTCAAAGTGGTAGGAGGGATTTTTCTTTACTGAGGAGAAATATGGAACTTTATTTAATTAAGAAAAGAAACAGTACAAGTTATAAGAGCAAAGGTTTATCCCGGCTTTGGAAGATCTCTCTTAGGAGTATATCTTTGGTATTACGGGAGTAGATACTTTTTTACTAAAAATAGGAAAAAGTGGAACTCAGATGTCATTGACCATGAAAGGATGAATATGTAAAGTCAGTTGTATTTTTTTTTTTTTCCAATTTTAGTAAACGATTTACCGAGTCTTTAATACTACTAAGATATTTTCCTCTCCAAGTCCCTGCAGATGCAGAAAAACAGAAAAGACTACAAACTTAAGTACTAAAGACGTTATCCCCTTCTATTTCTAGATACAATATAGACTCACACATTCTCTCTTATCTAACTACTCCTAATCATCCTTAATGATAATAACTGCCTAATCAGTAACTGTCTTAATTGTTTTTTTGGTTTTGTCCTGACGCTGTAAAAATATTTATAATGCTGAATTGGTGTTGGCCTTGAAGCCTGAGTGATTAGTGTTTTTGTTTTCATTTTTTATTTTTGTTTTATTTTCTTTGTAATTCAAAGAGCAGTTGTCCAGCACACTTCACCACATAATATTCTCTATAAATTGTTATTGTAAAATATTGTTACCATAGTTCAGTCATTATTAGGAAAATAATTTTTTTTGTTAGTTCTATATATCATAATGAACCCCATGTACAGTATTATTCAGAAATAATATTCAGTATTTTCCTATTCATGATGTAACTTTTCCAATTCCCATCTTTCATCCCTCTTTACATTTGATAATAACATCCATTTTCAGGGTCTTCATCGACTTGGAAAGTCTGATGTTCCAGTTTATGATGGATCTTGGACTGAATGGGGAGCACAATCTGATACCCCTGTTGAAACTTCTTCATAAAAGGGGACAATACAGCTAGATAGATTATCATGGCACCAAAAAAGTATCTGCAAGAGAAGGGGCTGTGTCTAGTTGTATAACATTTTGAGTACAACTGAGTCTTCTCTGCTTCATTACTTTTTCTTGTTTTGGTTTAATTGTGATTGAATTGCTATTGTGTTCTATGTCAAATATTAATAACATTAAATCCTGTCATATGGAGCTTAGAAAAATAATGGTAGGATTGTTCAATAATACAAGATAGAAGTGGAATTTCTTGGGTACTAACATGAGGTAGTGGTTTTCATTTTGTGTCATGCATAAAAATTTAGTAATCATAAAAGGCAAATCTAACATTAGACTGCACTCCTGCACTTATTCTTTAAGACCTTAAATAATAAGGGTAAGATAGATTTGCATGTAGTTAACATGCCTCAGTGAAATTTTTTCAATATGTAACATAATTTCTTTGTTCTTCCTATTTTTGGTTTGGCATTCTTTTTATCTACTACACAAGCTTGTACGTATGGTTTATGTTTATGGGGAAAGGATATACTTATCACCAAAAAAGTTTACTACTTTTACAACTAACCTAATCACCATTGCTTTTCGTCAATTTAACAGTTATAATTTATTGAAAATTATTAGTTGCATTTAATAATTAATTATTAATTCTCAATAAATTATAACTGTTAGATTGATAGAAATCAACGGTGATTATGTTGGTTGTAAATGTGATTGTAAATGTGATAAAAATTTTTGGTGGTAAGTATATCCTGTCCCTGGTTTGGTTTATGATATAAAAAAGATGAAAAATAAATTGTAATATATTATTAGTTAAGTATAATGTTGTTGTTGTTATTATTATTATTATTATTTGCTAGGTAATGAAAGGATCAAGAAACAAGAAAAATTAGTTCTTCGTTCGTGCAAAATGAAAGGCTCACAAGAAGAAAGCAATATTTACGGAATTACATCAACAAAAAAATAAAAAAAATAAGAAAAACCAAGAGCAAGTAGTACAAGGAAACTGTGCAGACAACAACAGCTCATGAGGACATTATAAATATTTATTCTTGCTTTGGTTTCTTCTCAATGTCTGTCTCAATCAACTGTTTAAGATCTTTAAGGATGGAAGGTCTTGATTGAACATCATTATGATTTGTCAATGTGGTCACTAACTCTTTGGGAACAAAGCACATTTCCTCTGAATACAGCTTCTCTTGAACAAATGGAGAAACAACCATTGTGTGTAGCTCTTCACTTGGAGGACCCTTCTTATCTTCCTGCAACAATTATCAAAATAAAAACTAACAAATTAAGAAGGAAAATTCAAAGCATTAATTTGATTATTTCTAGTTACACTTACCAACTTCATTCTATGGTTGGCAATGTGACCATTTTTTATTCTCCCAAATGCTGCCTAATATAATATAGAAACTAATTTTATAATCCAAAAAAAGAAAGAAACTAAAAGCAAGGACTATTCCCAAAAAAATCCACGTCCATACACTGCTTTTTTTTTTTTTTTTTAATATATAATCGTTGTTCCGAAATTATCTGATATGATAACCGTTATCTTATAACTGTTTCCTTCAATCTCTCTCTCACACAAACAATTTACATTTTTTCTAGAATTAAAAAAAAGAAGCAGGAATAGCAATCTATGTGTTTGAGCAAAGAGAAAGACTCAAAATTCATACAAGCATACAACATACGGTCATAAATTACATATAACTAACCAACTATGCAAATAGCAATTTCAATTTTCGTATTCATGAGGACACATAGTAATGAGCAAACACAAAACAACATAATCTAATTAATTCTAGTAATGTCTTCACACAAATGACCTCAAATGGACAATGAGCAAACACATTTGAGTACTAGTTAAACCACATTCAAGTAGCATCACATTTTAAAAAATAAAATAAAAACATTCAAAGGAAAAAAACAAAAACATGAAAATAAACATTATTAATTATTTACTAGCTATGATGATTAAGAAAGTGGTAAGAAACAGTTACATTGAGTGTCTTCATAAGTTCAAGCATTCCAACTTGTGCTTGAAGGTACTTGACATACTTTGCAGCTGCATGCAACATCTCAGCAGTGTTCATCTTAGGTCCACCAGGAACCAATTTTCCAAGCTCTTGGGTTTTCTCAGTGATCTTTCTCCTCCTTTCTCTTGCAGCTATGCTCTGTGCAGAGATGGTTCTCTCATTAGTTTTCTTCTCACACTGAAAATCAGCACTTCCCACACAAGTAGTACCTTGTGGAAGTTCTGGAACCTTAAACTCTGGCACTGCATAGAAGAGTTCTTGCAGTTCCTCTTCTTGCAAGGAACAAGGATAATTAGGCACAAAGAAATTGGATGGTATAATAAGCTCTTGCGATGAAGGGTCAACAAGCTCTTGTTCCTCATGCAAGCACTTTTGGCGTTTTGGACATGGAAAGTTGTAATCTTCAGTGAGTGAAATGAAAGGGTCATAAGAAGAAGGACAAGAAAGGAGTTGTTGAGGAGGGTAAAACTCTGGTATAGAAAAAAGGGTTGGATCAAAATAAGGATCAAAAAGGGTATTTGAAAGGAAGAGGCTTTCATCTGAGTAGTTAAAGATGTTGTGGTTATGGTTATTGTAGTAGTTATCTAGTGCTAGTTCTGGTGTTGGTTCATGGAAGGTGTTGATTTCTGAGTTTGGAGTTTGAAGAGTGTCCCAGTTGAAGTAAGTGCCGAGTGCCATTATGGTATAGCAAAAACAGAACCTGCAACAAGAAAAAGAAGTTGAATTTAGTGGAAACCGAACCAACATAACATATATAGTATCATACATTACTATTCTATACACGCATGCCTATATAGTTCAATGCTTAAAGCTTAAGTGCATAGATGCATGCAGATAAGAAACAATGGCATGTAATAGAATATCTTAGAGACCTGAGAGAGATAAAGAGAGTGTGCAAGAAGAAGCTGAAGATATGTTGTTGTTGTTTTTGTAGATTTGAGAGTGAGAGAAGCAAAATACTTTGGAAGACTTTTTATTGAGAAAAAACAAAACAGCTATGAAAAAATACATAAACTGACTTTATCCTCGTTGCCTCATGCTAGTTTGTGGGTTCAGATAATTTAGGGGAGGTTGTAGGCAGTTACACAGAATGTGGATTTTTCTTTTTCTTTTTTTCTTTTTTCCCTCTCACTTGAGTCACTGGACTATTAATTAATCGGAAGATTTTCTTCTTCTTCTTAAGAGACAGAAAATGAACCAAAATAAAATAAAATAAAGAGGTTGGAAGTCTTTTGTGACACTTTTATAGGGGTTGTGTTTTGCTTCTTAATTATACTGCTTTAAGATTTTAAATTTTTTGTTTACTTGGGTACGTGGCTTTAGTTTATGTCATGAATACAAATTTTGTAATCATAAAATATATGAAGTTTTGTTTATGTAATCATACAAATTATACGGCAAGACAGTTTTGTTTGAAGTTGACTTGGCTTAGTTAAAACTTTTCAACGCAAGGGTCACGATCAATTTATACTAATGTAAGTTATACTCTTAATCTTATTTGTTAATCTTAATTATATCTAAGGGCTCAAATTTTATAGTAATGTGAGCCATTGGATACAAGTGGATCAATGATCAAAATTAAGTGTAAGACTTCTAACTCTTACACCGGTATAAGAATATCCTGCCCCTATAATATAAACTTCTTTTTTCTTTTTTTGGTTTTGCTTTCTTTGTACCGTAGAACTGAGTGTTCATATCCACGAAAGTTTTTGGTTACATTTATGGCCAAATTTTGAAGGTAACTAACTTATTTGTAAAAAAGTCATTGAAATAATGAAGAAAGTAATAGGTACAATTTACTCAGATTGTAATGTTTATTTAATGGGAATTGTAGAACTGCAAAGGAATTTATTCCTGCATATGATTCACGTGTTATGGGTTTTTGGTGCAAGAATGTGATTAATTCCAATGGAGTTAAATTGAAAATATATTGTTTGCTACGTTGAAGGATCATGGGAAGATTTAACCATTTGATTAAAAGAAATTCAAGAAACAAAAAAAATGGTTCTCCATTCATGCAAAATGTAACTATAAATTGAATCCAAGTCTCACGAGAAGATGGAAATATTTACGGAATAACATAAAAGAAATCGAAAAGAAAGTAGCACAAAAATTTTATGTAATGAAAAGAATAAAGTAAAAATGGGGAATATTCTTCTACCAAAAAAAAAAAAAAATGGGGAATATTCACCAAAAAGAAAAAAATAAACCCCCACTTGAAAGTTCCATGCGAAGCAGTTACATAACTAACTCATTAATTTTTTATTTTTTTATTTTTTAATAACTTGTTCCGAAAGTCTCTCTTATGTTGACCATGTCCTCATGTTTCCTTAAATCTCTCTCTTTCTCTCTCATAAATCATTCTAAATTTTTCTAAAAATTTGTAATTTTTTTCTAATAATAAAAAAGGCAGGAATGGCAATAAGCAAAGAGAAAAACACTCCAATCTATACGACAGTTTCTCGTAAATTACATATAACTAATCTAAATAGCTCCTTATTGATGTGATGTATAACTATTATTTATTTTGTCAAAAAAAGAGTAGGACTTCCTATCCATCAGTTTATAATGGGAAAATGAAGAAAGTAACACGTACAATTTGAAATATAATTTACGTAACTCTAAAAGATAACACCATTATATAATATATACAGTACAAATAAACAAGTTAGTTAAGTGGTATAGTATGTGTACACAACATTTTTCCAAATATTTAGGAGTCTCAAATCTTACTAGAGAAACAATGTTTCACAACAGGGATTTGGATAAAAATCACATCAACGTTGGTCTTAAGTAAGTTGAATTCCACATGACCCTTAAAAGGTTCCAATAGAGAGAGGTTGTAAGAATCATTTTGGTTGAAAAAAATTGACAAAAATGAATAGAATCTATTTTATAGGTATGCGAAACATTAACATTGTGTTGTAACAAGGTAGTTTACATTATCTTCGGAATAAGAAAATTGGTATTGGAGCACATGGCCGGTTTAACATTTGGAGCTTGCAACATATCCAATTCTCAACACACAATCTAGCAGCAAAAGTTTCAACAGCCTCCAATTCTTCCCTGGACAAAAAGATAAAACATTATTGGCTCTAAAAGCATATCATCATTAACATGCAAGTCCATGTTAAAAATGAGAATTATTTATAAGAAATTCCTCCATTTTAAGATAAGGAGGAGAAGAATTCAGTTATGGAGAGAGAGTTTCATTAAGAAATCTTAGTTAACAAACTATAGTTCCAGCCTAACCAAATATGTAACTAACTAACCTCTGGATTCCTAATGTATAGCCACTATAACTAATTAACTAACCCCTGGACTCATGTTTATTCCTTTGGGAATAACCCTCCATGTCCTACAAATACATTGTTAAAACTGAAATGTTCATGAAAACTATACTTTTTTCAAGAAAGTATAATGATCATATAAATCATGCAAAAATAAATCCATGTTGATGTGCTTAAGGCATCACTTCAAAAAGTCATGTATAATTCAAAACATTGATGGAAAATTAGAATATTTGGCAATACAAAGATGTATATTATTGACACAAGCTAGAAAGTCAGAAATATCACCGTCCACCAGGGTGCCCCACATAAACCACTATGCTGATAAGTCCTCCTGGTATTAGTATTCTCTTTGCAGCTTCCAATGCCAGTAATGTTGTTTCTGATCTTGTTATTATTTCTTTGTCACCCCCTGGAAGATAACCTAAGTTGAATGCAACAAGCCTAGAAGTATGCAGCACATTAAAATAGATCCCAGCCTTAAAAATTCAAGAAATTGCATCAATAGTGATATGTGTTTTTATAACAATAAATACATAAATGGAATCAATATTCAAGATTACAACAGATAATAATCTTTGGGATCAACATAACTATCCAAAATTACTCTTTTCCAGCTTCGCAATCAAGAATTCAAAAACATACAGCCAATAGTTTCTTTCATATTTCACGGAAACATAAAAGAAATTAATATAACTTAAAAAATCTTATGCTAGCTTATTCTTTTAAGAATGTTTTGGTATCTTGCAAGGTCCTTGCAATCCATGGAGCCAATAACAATGAAACAATCAATCAAGGGACAGGATCCGTTTACAAACTTTTTTGAATTTTTTTACAATTTACACTGTCTTCTCCCAGGAGAACATAGTGTAGTTTGTAAAAGTTTGTATTCTCCCGGGAGAATATAGTGTAGTTTGTAAGAGTTTATAAACAAAAAAGTTTGTAAATATAACCTGCCCCATCAATCAATAGTCAATAATAATATAAAGCCTATTTAGTTCCATCATTTAGACATATGCTCACTGATGTTCTCCAATAGAAAGAGTCACATCACATGCCTTTCCTTTTGATTTTTACCTTCTAAAACCATTCATCACTTCCTCTGTCCCAACTCTCCCCCATCAAGATTAGAAAGTCATTGTTGGCAGAGCTACTTCTCAACAATATTTAGTATAGCCATCTCCGCAAATCTTTTCCGGCCGTAAACTTAATTTTACTTTTTTTCTTTCAATTAGTGAGACTTTCATCAGTGAATGAAAATAAATGTATCTCCATTTATTTCATTTTATTTTTCTCTATCCTTCAATGCTGAAGCTTGGAATACTAAAAGCAACAAAAGTACATTAGTTGGGTTGGGTATGAGAAAATACCTGATCGAGTGAGATCATAATAGTTATTGCTGAAAAATTATAGATAAGATTTTATTTAAAATAGTATGGTACCTTAAATAATTTCTAACATTTGCAAAGAAACTGTTGACAACTTTGCATAGATGAAGCTCATTGCTTGACATAGCTTCATAAAGACCTAATCAAATGTAAGTTTACCAACCCCAAATCTATAAGCAGCCTTTAAAGCCTGACCATGCATGTAGAATGTCATGATGTGAAAATTTATATATGGGCCTTTCATGCAGATGAGACCAAGTGGGAATTAAGGCTGAAATTGTAGCATTTTTTTTTGAAAAAAAAAAAGGAGAGAGAGAGAGAGAGAGAGAGATTAATAGAAGACTGTAAAAGATTTCAGTGAGTACAATTAAATTAAACTATACCAGTTATTTATTACCATCAGCTTTTAAACACGAAATAGGAACAGAGGAATGATGTAAGTGAAGGGAAAGTGGGGTACCTAACCGAGGCAGTCCTTGGAACAACTTCCTCCATTTTACTATGGCAGAGATTGAAGATCTTGACAAGTTCTTTCTGCACAAATTTTGAAATAATTGTTGGTCACATAAACGCTCTTAATTTTTGTCAGACTAACCACACCAAAATTAAAATTCAAGTGCTAATACACACTACTGAAAAAGATATAGTAAAATTAAGACTCAATCATTTATGTTAAGATCGACCATTATCTGAATATATTTGTCTGTGGCTATATAACATAGACAACCATATATAATATTCTTCACCAATTCAAAGTTCAAACTCTTTACTCATTTATAGTCCTCACCTCATTTGAATCAAGTGATTCTTCCAGCAAGATTGAAGTCTTGTCCAAAGCATCTTTCTGAATGTCCAATGCATATACACAACCATTATGAGAATCATCAGCAACCAAATTGAGCATTGCTAAGGTGTCAAAACCATTGCCACAAGTGGCATCAATGACTGTGTCTCCTTTCTTGAGAACATGGTTCCATACCCTGGTAGGAACAAGAAATATAGCTCATATCAAGGACAAAATATGTGAACAATAACTAGTAGAAGTGACACAATATAAATCAGAGTTATAAACAGCAGGCATGACAAATAGAGCTCTGTAACAAACTTGGAATACATTCACTTTTAACTCAACTCAAGCTCCTTTATAAGCATGGCAGCTGACATATTATAACAGAAAGCCTCTAAAGATATAACAAGAGAATCTTGCAACAAATGATTACAAGTACTCAAAAAATTAAATTGCTCAGCATTCTGTGATAGAAATGCAGCATGAGATTAATGCCAAGTGCAACTCTAACATAAATAATCAATAGTACAACGTAATTTTCTAGAATCATATTCTCATAAAATATCTGCATATCTATATCTTAAGTTATATATATATATATATATATGGAGCATGTTATTCTTACATAGGTGTAAGAATAAGAAGTCTTACACCAAATCTTGGCCTTTGATTTGCTTGCATCCAATGGCTCACATATCTAATGAATTAGAGCGATTAGATACAAATAGGATCAACCGCCAAAATTAAGAGTGTAATTTACACCCGTATAAAACGATCCTGACCCTATCTATATGTGTGTGTGTGATCTATATAATTACTTATGAGACTACAATAGAGCTAAATGGACAGCGCGTACAAAAGTTTGAGACTTTAACTACCCCTTTACTAGAAGAAACAACAACAACACAAAATTGAATACTTAAAGGCAACATTAGTGCATTTTTGTAGAGAATCAATAAGCAAAACATTCAGCCAGTGAGGTTTAAGAACCTAATTCCTTGTAAAGAACCAATTCAACCCAAAACCAATTCAACCCAAAAGCTTAAGCTATTGAGTGAGGCTACATCAATGGTTTTAAATATCTCTACACGCCCCTTCACACGAAAGTCTACTGGGCTTGAAGGGTGGACAATACAAAGACCCACCTACTTGTGCAAAGAAAGAAATTTCACTAGAAAGAAAGTGGGGGTGGTGAGGATCGAAGCCGGTACATCGAGGCTCTGATACCATGTAAAGAACCAATTCAACCCTAAAACTTAAACTATTGAGTGAAACTACATCAATGGTTTTATATATCTTTACATTCCTGAACAACAACAACTGGTTTATCCCCTAATTACTAACCTGAAAAACAGAAATGCAAGCAGAAATTTCAAAACAGAAGCATTTCAAGATACAATATGAGAAACCAGTTCACTGAGTAAAAATACATGTGAGCAACTTCCGTTGCCTTCTTCTTCCCCAAGAGATAGCTCACCAAAGCATCTTCCAGTCCTGAAAAACATGGCAAGGACATTTGTAGAAGATTATGCATTTGGTTTCATTTCAGTGATAGATAAGGGAAATGGGTACCTGATAAGGGAGAATCTTTGGGGAAGGAGGAAGAAGAAGAAGATTGAAGGTTATTGGCAACAGAAGAAAACCCATTTTGCTCAATGGGTTTCACACAGCAGCAATAGAGATTTCTGGAGCTGTTGCACAGGGTGTGTCTTTGAGAAGGAACCAACAATAAGAGTCTCCGTGAAGAACATGTAAAAGAATTGTGAGTTACGAAAGAAGAGAAACAAAACCTCAGCGACAACATCAGCTTCTGACCCTTAATTTTTCCCTTGTCAAATGAATACAACCAACAGAAACTGTCTTAACTCTTACTGTTATCTTTGAAAGATGAAAATAAATGGGGACAATTTTTTTGTTTTTCAATTTTAATTTTTCCCAGTTTGATTGTTTAAGTGAAAAAGAAGGGTTTAATATATGATGTAACAGTAAATAAAATTATCTACTGTTAAAATTATTTTTTTCATATATATATATATATATATATATATATCAAATTATTTTTTTCATATATATATATATATATTTTTCATATGATTATATACAGGTTTTACATATTTTTATATCTCTATATAAGAGATAATTTTATCTCTTATAATATGAAAAATATTCTGTAAAAAAGAAAGATGAAAATTACCTATCCCTTGTTTAAGGTTAAAATAGAGTGGATTATGATATTGAAATTTTAATATTTTTTATTTTCTCACTCTTGTAATAGAAATATGGGACATATATGTAATTTCAAATGTTTACAATTTAAAAGAAAATTTTTCTTTCTTTATCCCCAATTTGAGAGGAAATTTTCAGTGAATTTTTTTTTAGTAGATAATTTTTATTGAATTTTTAAAATCATGGATGAAACACTTACGGCAAAAAAATTAAAATAATGCTTTTTAATTAAATAATTACGTATTTATTGCAGATTTGAGAATAATTACGGATCTACTGCACAATGTGATGCCGTTTTGGGCGTAATCTCACCCTAAGGGAAGACGCCCCAATGGGGCGTCACATGTGAGGCCCAAAACGGGCGTCTCATGTGCGCCCTATATATTCTCCCACCACTCTTACAACTCTTCACACCTCTTCTCTCACTCTTCATATCTCTTCTCTACCAAAATTCCTAACAACATAATCCTTCATCTTTAATTTAGTATTTGAATTTTATTTCTTATTCTATTTAAGAATGAGTTCAAATCCTAATTTTGTTCGTGTTGTGTTATATTACAATGGTAGGAAGGTAGAAGGTCGACGATGTGTCATGTTTGAAGGTGAAAAAAGGCCGACACGTATCCAACGCAACGCAACCATTGGCGAACTGCATCAGAGAATTCGGCAGAAGTTAAGTCTTCAAGGCAACCAATATATTACTCAGATCACAACAAGGTTATGGCAATGTGATAAATACATTAGTTTGCAAGTGGTTGACGATGAAGACATGGAGATGACAATGGAAGAATTTTTCAACCAGTCACGGACAGATTTTTTGGAGTTGTATGTCGACATCGCCGCAACGGATAATGTTCCATTACCAGTGAGGTCAGTTGATTTAAATTATCCCTGTCTTCCATCAACGTTTGTCGCTCATGCGTCTCAAGTTGGTAACATTTCTGAGGGAGATGAAAATGATCCGACTTGGGAAATGCACGACGAAGACGACGACGATGATGATGAAAACATCGCAATGGAAGAACGTCTTCTGGCGGAGGATGCTAGTGCTTCAGATGGAGACGAAGGTGGTGAGATGGGTGCGTCTCAAATCGCAGTCTACCATGAACCAGTGGTCGCGCAAATGCCGCAATTGCATGACGTTGTGTCTGCCCTATTAGGTAATCATCATCAAAGTAATTGATATAATTTGTATATACCTGATTTAATACCTGATTTAGGAAGTTTGTATTAATTTTTTTTAATTATTAGATGCAGGTGATGAAGCTGTTATTCCTTTTTGGCAAGGAATTCTGCATTATGCGTACATTGATTGGAGTTATCGGAGTGAACAAGAATCATGCACTGATGGTACGGTTTCAAGATCGGGTTCAATACAAGGTCTGTGGCAACTGGGTGACAAGTTATGTGTGAACCAAGAATTTGCAACAAAAAAAGATGTCCAAATGGCACTTAAGCACAACCTGATTATGGAGCATCAAGAAGCAATTGTAGTTGAGAGCACGCCTGCAAAGTTATCCATGAAATGTTGTGCGTATGATAAAGGTTGCTCGTGGCACATTAGGGCGATCAAACCAGTGTTTGGTGAAAAATGGAAGATTACAAGATGGGGTGGAGATCACAATTGTTTGAATGAACACATTTCCCAGGGACATAGATAGCTCGATGCGGACGTTATTGCGGATCTCGTTCTAGGTACGTATTTATTTTCAATGACATGTCAACGTTTACATACTGTTGTGTAATTAAATTCGTTCTATGTTATCGAGTTTGTGACCTTTTCTATGTTATAGTCTAAGCCGAAGCGAGGAAACTCCTCCATAGTCGTTGCATGATACAGCATCTCTAGACCGTCAATCTGTAAATAAAAATGTGTTAGCAACGTCAAATGTAAAATATGTATGTTTGCTAAAATCTATCATAAACTCACCATTCGTCCAATCTTTGTTGCCCTCCGAGAAATGTATCTTTTTCCCCTCGCTCTGTACCACTCCATGTACGCATGGTTAGGTGACATCAACCCTAGTAATGGAGGGGGAAGAACGATATGCTGCTCCCTGACCTGCCATCTTTCAATCCAAGGACGAAGCTTACGCCTCCAGTTCTCGTCAACCTTCCCCAGCAGAGTATGATCATGGATCCCTCTCAACTTCTTGCTCACATCCGGGATGGGATGATCCAGACCAAACTACCGCATGCACCTATCCGGTTGACATGCCTCTACAGTGTGGAAGTAAATCAGGGGTGTGACAGCAAGCCAAAGGTACTGCTGGTGTGGAGTCACGCCCGGCCACTGATAATCGATATATGTTGCCACACCACCTACACACAAAGTGAAAAATAATATATGGTCATAAAAAAAAACATGCATGATGAAATAACAACATACTAAGTATCCACAACCTTACCTCATCTCTACATAGTGTATCCATGGTTGCCCGATAATGGACAACCTCATGAGGTTTAAACTTTGCAACTGAATTAAACCTGTCATCAGAAACATACATGATCAATCTTGGTTCAAGCAATTATACAATTACTATACATGACAACTCATTAGAAAAATCGAATGAGTTTAATAAAGCATACTGGCATCCATAAGGTGATAGTCATCTGACCTTGCGTCATGTGGAAAGTATGGGTCTCTGGTCTCCACCTCTCAACCAGAGCACTAATTAATGGGGCATCGATCTGAAAAAAAATTATACAATTATCACGTGTTAACGAATGGTATTGAATAATTACATAAATACAAAACTCCGTAAATTGCATACCTGCATATGTCGCATCCGGGCAACATGGATAAATGCAGCCTGTGTGAGGTAGTCTGTGACCACCTCTGGAATAGCCCCAGTAGGTGGCCCCCCTGGTGGTTTCCCACGCCTGGTCTTCAGCCTCCTCACATGCTCTGTATTCCACACTCGTTGTGAAATATAGGCACGCTGCGTCCTCTTACGAAGGATGTCCCATCTATAAGGCCCCGGTATGATGTACATGCTAGGATCGGTAGGCTCTGCATCCGATGCAGAACCCGAAGATGATGATGAATAAGCCATGACCCTAAACTATATAATATAAAACAGCAATGAAATTAATCACATGTAACAACACATTTTATGTACAACTTAATTAAGCAATGCCCTAATTTCATATCAAAAATATTAAGCATAAACCCTACGATCTTACTAGAATCGAAATTAATTAAATTTTATTAATACGTACTACAATCATTTATTTGTAATTAAATAATAATCAAACATCGGACACAACTTAAATCATACTGACATAATACTTAACCGTAAGTCACTAATAACTCCATAAATATGTACTAATCATCACACCTAACTAACTACAAAATCATCAATGCACTCCCGCATTAATAATATCATACAAAATTTACGAAGTCACTGTCACTATTTTCTAAATCACTATCACAAAATAACATCATAAATATGTATTAATAATCATAACTACGTAACAAAAAAATTACTATATCATTACAACATTCATAGCATGGTACAAAATTTCTAAGTGACTATCCTAATGTTCTAAGTCTCTAATATACGATAAATCCTAACATGTTATCAAGGTAGCACTGTAATTTAAACGTATACATAGCAGGTATTATGAACTTACTTAAGTTGGCAGAGCTTCGCTACAAAAATTTTCGCATTCGGTCGGGAGCACAAACTGTGGTTAGAGAGAGGTGAGATAGTGAGAAGTGAAATGGTAAAAAGGGGTATATATAGGCCGCACATGTGACGCCCAAAACGGGCATCACATTGTGCAGTAGATCCGTAATTATTCCCAAATCTGCAATAAATGCATAATTATTTAATTAAAAAGCATTATTTTAATATTTTTGCCCACACTTACCCTTATGACGAAGTAGTATTTAATTTCATTCCGGGGGCTCGTACTCGAATTTTTCATTTAAGTAAAATTCTTATCATTTGAATTAATAATTATTGATGAAAACGGATTTTTTATAATATAATTTATACAATAAATTAATAAATAACTTACCCATAAATAGTTTTAACGTAAAATATTTGTTTAAAGAGAAAATATTTCATCCTTATATAAGAAGATTTTTTTCTTCTTGTAAAATGATCACCACCATCAAAATTTAGTAAATTCCATTAATTTTTTAACAATAAATTATTGTTCAAGGAAAATTTTATTTGTAATTTTTTGTTCAAAAATGTAAAAGAAAATTTTCTTGTTTGATGCAATTTTTAATGAAAAATGACAATGTAATATATATTTATTAACTTAATTTATAGAATTTGTGTAGACCATGTGAATTTAATACCACATTGTGCCATCATCATATATAAAGACAAGTAGCAAATGGAAAAATGTGTATTATTTTAAAGGATACAAAATTATATCATATTAAGTGAGAGAAAGAGATAAATTATGGGAGAGAGAATGGGTAGAAAAGTTTTAAAGGTGTGGATCTCATCCCACCTCTTTATAAGAGTGAAAGGACATAAAATGTGCCATTTAAAATAACACATTTTTCCCTAATTAAATTAATAAAAGAAAAAGGAGGATAAAATATGGTATTCACATTCACCATATCGAAGTATGTCATAGCCTCTAGAGCCTTATGTTGTAGAGCTAAAAGGAATCTTGTTTCAGTAGCGGAGACTCCACCATCTGGAATATATCATGCTTGATGTAACACCCCGTTGTTCACTCGAAAATGTTAACATTGCTTTATGATATTAAGCGCAGTTACAATCACATTGGTTCAATTAAAAACTCAGATAAATTTTTCTTTTGTAATTTTTTCAATTAAAAACTCTACTTATCCTTCATTTGAAAAAATCGAATTTATAATAACCAAATTTTTGAATTTTTTCAATTAAAAACTCTGCTTATCCTTCATTTGAAAAAATTGAATTTATAATAACCAATTTCGTGACTATAACCGAATGAAGTTGTGGAATAAATAAAACTAAGCTTAATATCATATTCTTATTTTATTAAACCATACTTTGCCATCACAGCGTGCCAAGTAGTCCTTTTGGACCAACAAGGCTTAAAACTCATTTTATTCAATTCATTAACCAATATCTTCATTTCTTTTATTACTCATAAATTATGTACTTCTTTTATAGTTCTTATCTCCTACTATGTTATAGATCTCTTCGTTATCTTCACATGTGTTCAAACCGCGCTCAATTTGGAACACTGTAGCTCAAGTTATTCAGTTTTTACTAAACCGTGTCTATGTTGATTTCGGGTAGCGCGTGTTAACGCTCTCCAGAGCGTTACGAAGCCCTCATCGAACCCATTTTTCATTCTGGTAGCGCGCTACAACGCTCAATAGCGCGTTAAAACGCTCGGGACTCGAAGAAAATAACACTATAGCGCGTTGTAACGCCCTATAGAGCGTTTTAATGCCCACCACAGGTATTCTTTGCATTTTTTGCGCGTTTCAACGCTACATAGCGCGTTAAAATGCTCGGAACCCGAAGGAAATAACACTATAGCGCGTTGTAACGTCCTATAGCGCGTTGTAACGCTCTCCAATAGGGGACTTACCCTTTTTCCTTCGGAGTGAGCGCGTTTTAACGCTCATTTGAGGGTTTTAACGCTCTCCAACTGGGCAACACATGTCTTCCCTTGTTTTCACCTATTTTCTTTGGGGAATTACTTCCCACTCTCCATAACACCTGATTGACAATCTTATATCATATAATGCTTCAATAGTTGCATCATTTTCGTAATTCATTATACAATCCCAAGGGATAAAATATGATTCAACATTCCATCATCTACCTTAAACAATCCTTTTACAATCTAAAGGATAAAAATATGATTCATATTACATCCATATTCAAATATACCATTACATAATTGTTGTTCAAAGTGATTACATATCAAAGACTTAGAAATAACAAGTGATCAAAGTCCCAAAATAGGAGCAGAATGGCTAAACAACATCAATGATCAACTTCTAAGTCCTACATGCATTCATATACAACTAATGCTTCAAAATATTTATTGCATAAGGTTTTCTACATGCAAGGAATCTCAAAATGTCATATATCAGGTACAATCTACCTATGCTTCTTGCCTTGTTCAGCCTCACCTCTATCAGTACCTGAAATGATGCCCCACAACACGGGGTGAGATATACGAATATATCACAGTAAACCAGGGGTCCTTGGAGATAACTCCACCCTAAGGTTCACTTTCGGTGTACATATAATCTTAACAGCTTAACACATTCTAATCCATACACTTCACATGGACTTCCAAGAGAGATCCTCAAAGGGTTGTTTCTCTTAGATGCTCACCACAAGGAGATCCACATAGGGCAGTTTCCAGGGGAAGTGCAAAATCTCACACTAGGGGCTTCCAAGAGAGTTCCTCAATGGCTATTTTTCTTAGGCTCTTACCACATGGAGATCCACATAGGGCTATTTCCAAGGAAAGTCCCTAACCTCAATCTAGGAACCTCCAAGAGAGATCCGCTACAAGGAAAAAGTTTATTTGTGACAAAAAATTTCGTCATAAATTTTGTCACAAATGACAATTTTTGACACAAATAATCAAATTTCGTCACAAATAAACTTGTGACACAGGAATTTGTGACGAAATTTACTTGCGACGTAAGAATTTGTGACGAAATTTCACAAAATTTCGTCAATATTAAGATTTTTTTCTTGTAGTATAGGGTTGTTTCTCTTAGGCTTTGACCACATGGAGATCCACATAGGGCTGTTTCCAAGGGAAGCTCCTACATCTATCTTACTAGGTATATTCATTGGATTGATCCAAGGACTATTCAATCCTTTCGCATGTATCAGTCACTACCTCATCTCTCAACTATCAACATAACCTCAATCTGAATCCTCAACCATTACCTCATTCATTATTTTACATCTATCAACCATTCCTCAATTACTCTTTACCAATCAATAATCATTAAGCAATCATAACATTCATCAATGTATGAATCAATGCATGAGCATACAATTACTATCATCATTCTATATCACACCTCATAAACCATTCCTCCTCAACGGAGTATGGTGGAACATTCAAGGGGATCAACCCCAAGGTCCAAAGGTTTACCTTGCACTTGAAATTTCCCCAAAGCTTTGCTTTCCCCAATTGAACACAACCACAAGGGTTGGTCACTTCACTTGGTTCTCTTGCCTCAATCCTATCAATACAAGGATCACAATCAAATCTACAATCAAACAATGGCTTACTATTCAAGAACATCCTTAATTTCAAGCATAATTTCTCCAAATATCAAAGCATACTAAAATAACAATTTAAACTCATTTCTACCGTTTATTTATCATTCATAACAACATTTCCAAAGGAATTTAGCCTCAATCTTACTCAAACTCATAAAACCCATAAAAACATTATTCATTGTCTTCAACCTCTAGAAAACTCCATGACCACAAGGTTGGAGAAGTAGAAACTTACCACAATAGGTCACACAACCAAGAAATAGGGGTCTCCTAAGCTCCAATGGATGGAAATGCCCTCAAACTCCTCAAATCTTCAAAGGGGTCAAAATATTCGGAGGGAGAGATCTCTCTCCACAAGTCTTCCTATTCAAATCCAAGCTAGGATTTGCAATGAGGGAAGGATTCTCTACATTTTTCACTTTGGAACATATGGATTTGGTGGAGGAATGAGGAAGTTAGGGTTTTCTCCTCAAAATGGTCTCTCCCTCTCTTTTCTCTCAATGGTCGACGAAGAAGAAGAAGAATGAGGGAGTTTTTGTGTTTTTAACACTTAACTTAGGTTGAGTAATTTCAATCGGGTATAAGCTTATCTATCTTTTCACCTCCATTCACTATCAAACTCTACCCAAAGGTCTGAAATATTTTTAACTTTATTTTTATATTTTGGGTACTTTTGCCTACACACATTTTTACCCTATAATTTTCACTGACTGCACTTTTTACCTCAAAAGTGCTCTTAATTTATTTAATTAGATATTTTATCTAATTCAACCCACTAATACAAGCTTAATTACTTAACTACATATAATTTACTAATTAATCAAATTAGG